GCCCTTTCAAGCCCAATCAGACTGAGAAAATAACAGTGTGTTCCACAGATTTTCCTTAATGTAACACACACTCCCAAAAACTCCAGACAATGAAACGCATTAAACATCAACATAATTGCTGGTTGCCCAGATCAACAACCTCTGAGGCTTTTCTGGAGGACAGAAAGACGAACAAATTACAGGGACTAACCTAACAAAAACAAATTTGCAATGCAAATTCTGAGCAGCGTCACGATTCATCTGCTGTTCTAGCATTGTCCACTTGCTCACCACATCAAGAGCGCACGGACCTGCTGGGAGATAGAATTAAACATCAGAGTGACAAATCTAACTGCCCAACTACACGTCACCAACGTGAGCTGTTAAAAATGACATAATTGGTCTTGAAAATGTGAAATTAGTGTCTGGTTCGTGTTAAATATCATACATGTTATTTGCTGATTTCAAAATGGATATATAGGTCGGAGGAAATTAATGTGCAGGCTGGAATAAGGGCCCGGGCTTCGTCTATACCACCCTGGCCCACCGGGAAACTCATTGAACGTACAGATTACCACTCCAGGCCTGACTACACTACGATTTGGAAATGTTTTATGACCTTCTCCACTCACTGGCCACAACATTGGGCGACTGTTAGAGAATTACGTGTCAACAAACGCCGATACGGCAGCGCCATCAATGAAACAGAAAAGTAAAGTAACATCATACCACAGATTTAATGTTAACATTAATATCCGATTCACTACAATGTACATGGGAAACATGGGGTCGTAACAAAAAAAAAAAAAAAGAATCACCATGACAAAAACAGAGACTCATGGTTCGAACATTTCCGGTCAAATTGATTCCCACACATATGTCGAAACAGTTTTGTTAGTCTCCACAGACTGTGGGTGGGACGATTGGGATTTGGCATCACTCAGGTGTAGCACACAGAACAGAGTTCATGACAGAATATCCGATCAGTCTCTGGTCTGTGTGGGGGATGAATACAAAAAAAAAAAAAAAAAATTGGACAAACAGGTTGACTGGTCCGGATTCGCTGCGGTTTCTGCCACCGGTAGTGTGTTCTCGAACAATAACTTTACAGGATCTGTCAATCAGTCAATACTTTATTTGGGGACATGATCCTTTCCAGCACACCTCGAAACACCAATTAAAATAAATCTAACCTATGATATCTACATATTTAACGGGATCCTGTATATGTCAGACACAATTTTTGACACATGGTCAATTCCCACAGAAAATGTCATTTTTCAGTCAGTGCTGGATAATAAATTGCTCAACTGTGGATGAATTCATTGTAATCCAACAAATAAGCCCTAATTTGTCAGTCGCATACACTACACCTTCCATTTTTTTTTCTGCCCAAAAAAATCCAGTGGAAATTTCACTCTTGATGTTAAGTGGAAATGAGGAGCTCGTCCAATAGCAACAGATCTTTGGCTTTTGGTTCTGTATCAGTGTGTCCAGTACGGAGACTGCTGGCAAGTGGCAACACCCCCCACCCCCCCACCCCTCCCCGGCTTCCCCAGAGTCTCCGACAAAACATCTGGGTAAAGATGCTCGAGATTCTTGAAATGAGGCTGGAACAAAAGTCACTCTGAAACAATGACAGTCAAAAATACAGCTATGCTGAGAATTTGTTTGGAAATGAATGCAAAAAACAAAACAAACCAAAACAAAACAGCATGTACATCTATTTCATACAAACACAGTTAATGTTTTACCATAGTGTCTTCATCTCATTAGTCGTTGTCATTGCTGACGCAATCCAACAGGAAATGGTCACGCTTAGACAGAAAAGTACGGCATAAATCCTTCATGTTAGCCTAATGCACAAACATGCGGCCAGGAAGTTATTAGCAGATCTGCTGAAATCATCGTCCGATCAAAAGAGATCTATACGCAGTGTTTCGTGTGAACGTAGCTCTTCTCCTCCACAGCTGTGCATGGTTTATACGCTCTCCGCTTTTAAGTGCTGTGCTGGGGCTGTTAACTTTGATAGAACATGCAGGTACAGTTTGGAAAAACAATGATACTTTAATGGGGTTCTTAAAAGGGCATCGAATCTTTGACAAGTTGAAGGAGATGCATTTGAGACTGTGTGCAAGTCGAGAGCCATCATCCAAAAGGTTTAGAACTCAGTGATTCTGCCTATTTCCATCTAAAAAAATGGTTTAAATACACTTTAGCATAAGGGTATCAGCGTTTAAGAAGCAAGGTCACAGGTCAAGGCCTGCAGGGCCATCTGTTGGACGAAATAAATGCTGCCATAGATACACAGTATCCAATCTGCCCGGGGAATCAATAGTGCGGGCTGATGTGTCTTAAATGATATGAGCATTTAGACGTGTTACTTTAATGAATCGGATTTGAAATTCATGTTCAAAGTCCGCTGGCTGTTTGTCTTCTGTTCCGTTTCTGTACGGTGTGTGTGAACAACTAGGAAGTGTAATACTACAAGATGTCATGTGTGATAAGTGCTCTTTTTCCTCTTGGGAAGCTCTTCCCCATGTCCAGTGATGAATACCTGGGACGTTTTACAAGGCCGAGAGAGCCCATAAAGGACAAACCTAAAGAAATATACGGTTCAGTGATGCCCAATTCAGATTTTACAATGTTGTCTATAGGTCAATTGGGACTACTGTCAGCTGGCCTCAATACAGCTTGCCTGGTGCAAATTAGAAAGTTTAAAAAGACTCTCGCACCATCTAGTGGCTGTTTATGAAGGCGGTGAGCGCTGAACTTGGGGAAAAGGAACACCCATGTCAACGAACTGTGCAAAAAACATTCAGACAAACAATGTTTGATATGACATTATTGCAGCTTCCATTCTCCATAAGCTAAAAGACAAGCAAGTTTCTGCTATTAGCGAAGTACAAGGCGGATTTTTCCCCAACAACCCTATTCATTATTATAATAAAGGGATTGAAAAATATGCATCCATTTTCTACAGCACTTGTATGTCCACATTAAGGTGAGCTGGACTTGCACCTTGTGCCATTAATTAAATACAGTAGATACTATATTCATCCTCAAGGTAAAAATGGCAATCGGTGTGAATGTGTTTGTGACCGGTTGTTGTTTTAAAAGTGCCCTGTGATCGAGCAGTAGGTTGTATCTCGCTTTTAAGTCCAAAGTCAACTGGAATTCACCTCATCTCACCTGTGAGCCTGACAATAGAAAGGTGATGCAATATTGTGAAAGAATCCCAGAGATGACATGGCTTTTAAGAGATATAGATACAGTAAGTACCAACGTGTGAAGAGTAAAAAAAAAAAAAAACAATTTAACTGCAGCTTGACATTGGTATAAAATCCTTATATCGGCAGGCTTTAATCATATCAACAGTCGTGAATCTAAAATGAATAGTGTGTGCCATCATACAGAAAGAGACCGCTATGATTACAGCTAAATGCACACAAGTGTAAGAATATAATTTCAGTCTGTTAAAATGTGGGAAAGGGTAATATTAATTTGCACATAAGCAAACAGTGGACCTCCATTTCAGTGGTTTGTGCATAATTGCAGAGTGTTAAACTGTGGCCGAGGCCACTGTTCATTGACATGGCATTTTTGAAATGGAAATACAAGCTTCAAGGGAAAAGCAAATTAAATATCCCCCCTAATGCTGGCCATTTTGAGGGGGGTTCTCCTGTGGAAAAACACATTGTTGAATAATGTCTTCCTCCTGCCTCAACACGCCACTGCCAAAAATGTCACCACGTCCATTCCTATTAAGTGCAAGGCTGCAGGGACAGGGTTGTGTTTTCAGGCGCGTGCCATGCAGCTTCTCACGGACAGATGTCTGATGATTTACGAGGGATCGGGCCCCTGACGAGGCTGATGACGAGAAGTAAGAGGGTCAAAGCTAGAATTTGTTGGAGTGGCTAAAACTATTAAGATGACGCATTCAAAAAAAACTCTAGGGGAAACAGATAAAGGCAGCCATGTGGAATAGAAATGGGTTGTCAGCCTGTGATGAGAAAAACGCTCAGGGAAACGTCAAGCAAAAAGTGCTGCTTTTCCATCATCCTGTAGCATCTACAGGCGATTGTGAACATTTTTCGGTGGGCCGCTTGGGCGTCAACTACTCGTGGAGTTGTGCTATTTGTGCCTCACCTCAAACCCCCACAAACAGCCAGGGGATACCGTTGTCATAATGACATGGTAATCGATAATGAGAATGGCGAGTTTATTACACACCCTCTTACGGACTCAAACCTCATTTCTTGGATTGACACTGTCAAATTGAGAAGTGCTTTGCACAAAACTCCCACTTGTTCTCTCGCACAAAAAGTCAAGACAAAAAGCTTTGAATGGTTTGATTTTTTTTTTTTTTTTTTTTTAATATATATAAAATGTAGCCAATAGAATGAGCAATGTACCTATGGCAAGAAATGCTTTCTGGTGTGTACAGTTTGGTTTATGAATGTAGATGTACAGATATGAAGAAGTGACCCCGGTCCGATAGGGCAACTTGGAAATGTGATTACAGGTTCCTTTTGTTTGATTATTAGGTCGACTGAACAACAGAAAGAACACCTAAAAAATAAATACGTACAAAAAAGTCCCTTACATACCCTTGTGGGGATTGGATTTATGACATCTTCCAGTTGAGGCTGTGAAAAAAAAACTAAACTGTGATAATGTAAAGTTCATCCAAAGCTACGATCAAAAGCTATCCATCGTAGCGCAAAAGCTGGAAACAATATGCAACGGCCTAACTTTTAAAGTTTCGTAAAAACATAATCTGGCACATAAAATTTCCCCTTCAATAAATAAGCGAATATAAAATCTATCCATTTACCGCGTTCATCTTTAAGGTCACGGGTGAGCATGCGGCCTATGCTTCGAAAACTATTTGCATGATGACTTGAACCAGGCACAAAGTGGTACTTGTTCAAATCTCCTCTTTGCCAGACGACAACATTCACTTTAGCATGGAAGAATTGTGTAGATTTAACTATCAACCAAAGGTGAAATATCGACAGCATAAAAAAGGGTTGGGGGGGGGTGTCATTGAGGCTATACGGAAAAAAGGGGAAAATCACACTAGACTCTCAATGCAGTCAGGAGTGGCTAGAATCCCTGAAAAATGGCTTGTGTGAGGACAACGATGCAAAGATAACTGTGAGTACACAGTCCGCGTAAGAGTTAATGAATAATCGAGATCATTGATGATATGCGTATGACATGTTAAAAAAAAAAAAAAGAAAAATAAAAAGTATTAAAAAATATATTACTTTTTTTTCATAAAAATTCAACAAGTACAGCCCTTTATAAGAATGTACCAAATAATGTTTCGCAGTGGAAGTCATTTCAGAAGTATAAAAATTATAATAAGACGGTCCCCCCGCTCCCTCCTTGCATACTTTTACAGGCATGTACATGTAAGTTTTCAAACCAAGAAGAAATGTGACGGTTCCTTTGGTTTCTAATAGTCTCATCTTTTAAGAAAGGCTTCTGGTTGGCGGTGCTGCCGATGTGCTGGCGAGGTTGCTGCCACTACGGCAGTCCGGGCTCATTCAGCATTCTGGTTTGGAATGAACCACTTCATCTTGCATCCAAGACGACAATCTAAATCGGTGCTCACATCCTGGAAAGAGCCTGGGCCCAAAGTGCAATCGAGACCTGACTACTTCTTATCTTGCCACAAATCCCACCAGAATGCAGACCGACTGGCAAAGCCTTCATGTTTCTCACGCTTCACACAGTCTGTGACCGTCTCAGGAGTGAGTCCAACTCACGGGAACCCACTGCGTGTCCAGCTCCACTTTCTTTAGTGCCGCACGCAGCTCGCCAAAGGCCTCCGAAAGGTTATCGTTTACTATAACCTTCTCAAATAGATGCCCGTACTGATTCTCCATTGTCTGGGCAGTTGCCAGCATCTCCTGAAAGTCGTCCTCCTGGAGCACGTGTGGAAAAACAAGGGGAAGGTGAAACACAAGGGCTGATGCAGTCTAACTATTACTATGTGCCTGGATTGAATGATTTGAAATCTGTTCGGCCTACACCATTTCCATGACAAAGATCACTACTTTTTTATACTCGGTCATATTCCACATGATGGACAAACTATCAATACATTTGCTTAAATTGTTTTTTTAACAAAAAAAGATCACTCCTCCATTCTGTGCATGTATTCTGCGCTCACCGTAAATGTCTTAGCAGATCCCTTGTCATCCTTGCCTGAAATGACTTTTGCATTCATTCTCGTCAACCTCAGTCTCTCGATCGTAGGAGGCTTCACGAAAACTACAAATGGTTTAAACTCCGCCGTCCGCAGGTGCTTTAATGTCTGGAGGACAAAGAAAAGTTCCGTTAATTGCAAGGCCACGGGAATGGTGTTAACAGCTGTTGTATGCGGCAAGACAGCAGATGAGTACAACATGAGCGAGAAAATGCTGAGGAAAACTTTGGGCCACTCACATGAGGTTGGACGTCCAATAGGCACACTTTGTTCTTGGAAAGGACCGACCGTATTGAGTCTAAACTTGTCCCATAGTAATTGCCTTTGTATTCGCCGAACTCGATGAACCTGAGAGGTGAGAGGTAAATATACGCATTTGGTTTTTTTGTGGGGAGGGGAAATGTTTGATTGTGTCAGCTACAAAGTTGCTTACTTATTGTTCTGAATATCCGTCTCAAAAAGATGTTTGGAGATGAAATGGTATTCCACACCATCATTCTCCAGGTTCTTCTTGGGCCGACTTGTGTCTGAGAGAGAGAGACAGACAGAGGCTTGCTGACCTCAATTTCAGACTCTGACTCACTGTTGGGCAGCGAACCATGTGAAGTAATTCACTCTTAACATTGCTGAAAATCTTCAGGCTACAGTTTGGTTGGCCTAGCGACTCCCTCTATGTATTATTGCATCACTAGACTTTGATGTTCATTCTGTCTGACAGTGTTACCCACAATTCTTTTTCCTGCCCATTATTTTTCTTCTAAATTGTCCACAAAATTTTTGCCCTCCCCCCACACCCCCACCCCCCAAGCTACGGTACATTGAATATCGGGGTGGGAATGTTTGGGTCATTTCAATGATATATCATCGACAAAAGACAAAAAGTCAACTTACGTGGGATGGTCACGCTGAAGTGTTGTGGATCAGAAATCAAAAGTTTTCTCTTCAGTTCATTCAAGCCGACTCCAGTGGGTCCTGCAGACGGCAAACACGCAGTTGTCCATCTTCCCAGGATTGATCACTAATGACCGCCAGTTTGAAAACACACGACTCACCGACTAAGATCACCAGTCGGTGTTTAGCTCTATCCTGCCTCTGGTATTTCGTGACCTCTTCATAAGTGGGAACGTCTGCTGTGTCGTAAATTGCACTCTTCTTACACTCGTACATGGACTTGTTGGTCTTCTTGTCTTTCCTGCTGAGACGGAAGCTTCTTCTGAACCCAACTACCGACGTCATAATGAAGAGGGGAAAAAAAAAGGGAAAGGAGAATTTAAAAAAGTGAACTGTAAATCCTAGATGAACTTAAAGTACAAAGTCTATACAAAGACTATATCTCCATCCCTGTTAGCGTGCCAACAAATACAACCAGAAATAAGCCCGGAGCTAAGTGGTTTCAATGTTCTGGCCAATGCTTTCATGGTTTAATGTCCAATACCACAAATCGTAATATAAAACTCAGCTGAGGTGTGTTATTTTGGGCTTCATCATGTGTGACCAATACTGTTCAAAGCACAAACGGTGCTTTATGTAATATTAAATATAAATACCCTGGGTTGAGAGACTAAGCAAATAGTTTGATTGGTCACCAAAGTAGAAGAATATGGAGGAAACGGAAATGAGTTGCGGTTCAAAATAAAAAGGAAGGAAAGCAAGTGGGGGGATTCTGCTGATGACAACAAAGATGGTTAAAAGGTAAGTGGACAGTTTTCAAGACAGGACAGAAATGTGTCCTTTGAATGTCACCCATCAATATTGTTCTGCTCCCTCCCGGTGAAGGGCCGCAGTGATTGCAGCTGTCGATATCCAGTTCAATGTTTTGGAAATTTGTAGAGAGAACTTCCATCCACTATGAAGTTAGAATTAAAGGAAACTTAAATGTTTTCCAGAGTGAATGAATGACGGAAACATTTAAAATGGGAAATTGAGACAAAAGCTAACACGGTATATTGGTTGTTATTTTTGCAGATAGAGGAACGAAAGGAAGAAAAGAATAGGTAACTCTCTCACCTAGACGGGATCCGCTAATAAAGTCAGCATCCTCTGGTGAAGAGAAAAGAAAGAAAGAAAGAAAGAAAGAAAGAAAGAAACAAAGAAAGAAAGAAAGAAAGAAAGAAAGAAAGAAAAAAGGGGCCAGAAGAGAGACGGGTTAGCCGTATTGGAAGAGAAGAGGCACAAAGGACAGAAATAGGGACCCAGCCGCCTATTTAGCTATTAAGGATTAAGATGGGCAACAGGTGGATAAGTCAACCTTCAAAACCAATACATGAAAATCTCTCAGAACCTGATGTCGGAGAAAAAAAAAAAGAAAAAAAGGTGAGGACATTTTTTTAAACCTGCGTCAAAAATATGATTAGGGACACAACGGGAGCTGTGATTAAAATTTGCTGTTGAATTAGTTGTAACAATATAAAAGATCATGAGAAGTGAAAAAAAGGGTTTTCGATTACATTATAAAAATTAAAACGTTAGGTTTTTCCTATTGCATGACCATTTATTAAATGCTCATAATGAAAATCCTATTCAATGAGAGGTGTGAATTGAGTTGTACCTTCAATTTCCTCAACTGTGAGAAACAGCAAATGAAGCAGGAAATGAAATTGAGCATGTTAGTGAAAAAGTTGGATGACAAACTGAACAGAAGACCGAAGAGGAAAAAGGAAAAAGAGGAAAACACCTACCACGATCTACAGCCACATCATCTTGAAAAAGCAAAACATACTATTAATTGCCCGCACAAAGACTACTTTTTTTTTTTGAGTCTGCTTTACACAACAAGTTGGCTTGTTGCACTGATATTTGAATGGCAGGTCGAAGCCTCTGCTCGTCTAAAGAACCAAAGTAATGTGGAACAACTGTGTAGATAAAAAAAATAAATTAAAAAAAAAAACAAAAAAAAACACATTGTTAACAAAGCCGCCGTTTTTTTCTTTCACATAATTGTTACATTGAATTCATTATTAGAATTATTTTTCTAATCAGAATGGCTTTAATCATTCAACTATTTTGACTGCATGATGTGTAATTATGACTTTAAGAAGCGTGCAAAAATAAATAAATAAAATTGTATCGTGTATTCATAACAACACCATTGGATTCAAGGCATACACGTCTTGATCGTATGCAATAAAAACTTACGGGACCGTCGAAGTGAAGACCTGTGAATCGGGAGAATTGCAGCAGGACTTCGCAACGCAAGTCTCCTGTAAAATAGACAATCATATGGTCAGGCTGTGGTGAAGAACATTCCCTGCCACAACAAGGGAGTGTGTGTGTGTGTGTGTGGTGATTCGTGATTAAAAAAAAAACAGGATATAGAAGTGATGGAGTGTTTAAGTGAAACAAAACACACAACATGTGGTTGCACTTTGAATCTAATTCATATTAACGGCCACCCGAGAACACGCTATTATGAAGTTTTCCACAGAATTGTACAAAAATTGGTCTTTGTGCATCTTAGGGCAGAGGCGTGGAGAGGATTTCGCACCTCTCTTGAAACTGTTTGGACGGGATTAAGCCAGCACGGGGGTTAGCATCCCCTTCATGCTTGGCTTGCCACCAGGTTGCATCATCTTGGCTCATGATCTGAAGAATGGAGCCCTTTTTGAAGGCGAGTCCGGCCTCCTGACATGGGATGGCTTTGTCGTCTTTTGGGTCGTAGTCAAAGAGCGCCTTCACAAACATCTGAACACAGAAGTGAGAAGAGGAAAGGGACAGGAAAAAAAATGGCTTGTTACTTTCCTCAAAGTCTAGAAGCAAGCATTCTATTTTGTCGAAAAAAAGAGTGCGGTCCCTAAACAATAATTGAATAAAATAATGTGATGATGCTCCGGCTTGCTAAGTTAGCGGGTTATGAATTGAGAGGAGACTTATTGTGAAAGCAACAATTAAAATTCTATTTTAAACTGTCAGTCAGTGTACGGCAATAACTTAAGCGGCGACGGCCTACCTTTGGCTCCTTGACCAATACATCCTCCTTGACCCCAGGAACCACTTTAAAGGTAATGGCCCCTTGTGACTGAGCCTGAATATTAGAAGAGACAAAATAGCAACAGTGGGTTACGTGACTAACACATATCTAATCGGAGGACTGTTCGGCTGGAAAATCTACAAGGACACAGATTCCCTTACGTAAATCCATGCAAGTGGTCAAAGCGCCAAGAAAAATGACTGAGAGGGAGGCAAGTGAACAGATATGTCACACATTCCTGGATGAGTGGAAAGGAAGCATTTGCCTCACAAATGAGAGGTCTTAGTTTGACAAAGGAAATGGAGGGGTCCAAAGACGAGTCGTACCAGAATACGAATAATTTCCTCTGGTTTCTTGTCATCCACAGGGATTCCATTGACCTCCTTCAGCTCATCCCCAACATGAATAAGGCCTGTTACACAAAACAAATCACAGTCTACACACTGAAATTTGAGTACCTTATTTGACATTTACTGGAAAATTTGAATACTCAAGATTAGTTTATTGACATTGACGATTATATTATCATCTTTTTAGCCCCCAAAAAACTTAAGACAAGCGTTGCCAGTTACCCATACCTAACACAGAGTAATTACAGTGCATCCACAACATGCATGAGTTTAAAAAAAAAAAAAAACCTGCGTCAAAAATATGATTAGGGACACAACGGGAGCTGTGATTAAAATTTGCTGTTGAATTAGTTGTAACAATATAAAAGATCATGAGAAGTGAAAAAAAGGGTTTTCGATTACATTATAAAAATTAAAACGTTAGGTTTTTCCTATTGCATGACCATTTATTAAATGCTCATAATGAAAATCCTATTCAATGAGAGGTGTGAATTGAGTTGTACCTTCAATTTCCTCAGCTGTGAGAAACAGCAAATGAAGCAGGAAATGAAATTGAGCATGTTAGTGAAAAAGTTGGATGACAAACTGAACAGAAGACCGAAGAGGAAAAAGGAAAAAGAGGAAAACACCTACCACGATCTACAGCCACATCATCTTGAAAAAGCAAAACATACTATTAATTGCCCGCACAAAGACTACTTTTTTTTTTTGAGTCTGCTTTACACAACAAGTTGGCTTGTTGCACTGATATTTGAATGGCAGGTCGAAGCCTCTGCTCGTCTAAAGAACCAAAGTAATGTGGAACAACTGTGTAGATAAAAAAAATAAATTAAAAAAAAAACAAAAAAAAAACACATTGTTAACAAAGCCGCCGTTTTTTTCTTTCACATAATTGTTACATTGAATTCATTATTAGAATTATTTTTCTAATCAGAATGGCTTTAATCATTCAACTATTTTGACTGCATGATGTGTAATTATGACTTTAACAAGAGCAAATGATAACATTTTATGTTTGAATAATAACTAAAAAAATCCTCACCTTCAAGTGGGGCTTGGCCAAAAGCTTGAGAAGCTCATTCACTTCTCTTGTAGCTGATTCGTCTTGAAGCTCCTCGGACAACTGAAAGAAAAAAATGTTTCTTCAATTTATAGCCTAATGGGAATATAGATTCAACATGCAACTACAGTACTTCATTTTATTTTACTCATCCAGCTGGCTAGCTGGCTAGAGCTGCTCAACAAATGAGGTGAGGTGCTTTTTTTTTTGGAGATGTCTGGACTCGCACTCCCAAGGACATGCACTTGTTGTGCTCAAATAAATCATGCGCTTTATTTGATGTTCAACCACTTACTTGAGTGCACAGACTTGCAGCGTTGTTTAAGACAGGAGTGGGTTTGCTCTCTTCGTAATGCTGCAGCCTTTCATGAATCTGAAATGGCAGTTGGTTTAATTAGTAGGCGGGAATGAAAAGGATGCGCAGTGTCCCATGGCTACACACAACAACGTTCTACGATAAAGTTCCAAATGGGATAAAACTGTTCATCTGACAAACAAACAAAAATATCACTTCACGGTTTATTTTACCATGAACAATGAATGGAGGCTTTTCTCCTCAAACATGCCCTGGAGAAAGTTGCTCTCCTCTGGGTGGTTGGCATGGGGCTTCAGTTTTGAAGGTAAAGCTGCGAGCAACTCATACAGCCCTGTAAAAGAAGCAGAGGCGAGTTTTTCGTACACGGGAGCTCACCAGGAACCACTTGACTGCTTGAAAGAAATCACGTTATAATAATGCCAATCGAGCAAAAGCGCGAGACATTACAGAGACAGAAAACATGAGAGAATCTTTTCGATTTGTGTGTATCAGCGGCTTGATACCTGGCTCGTGGCCCACGCCGGTGGTCAGGGCAGGCATGGCTCCTGCCAATTACCTCCCCTCAGGCTGTGGAAAATGGCAAGAGGGTTGTGAGCTCCTCAGCAGCTCTCCCCAAAGACCAACTGCATTTGCGGACACGTTTTATGCCATGGAAACCTGCGAGAGGAGATTTTTCGAGCATAATCACAGGGTGCCTTTGCTGCTAACCTGTTTTAAATATCTCCAGCGAATCGTTTGCGTGTTTGGTCAGGGTGATCTGATCTTATAACTGTTTGTTATGACAGCCCAGGGTGTTCCCCGTGACATCAGCGCCGTTGTGGCTCATTGGTATTGCTTTCATTGGTATTTCTATCAATGCTCGGGTAATGGGCGTACAAACAGACTGTGTTCAAATTGATTGAAGTCAGTCAACTAGACGTGAAACATGTTGCATGTCTGGTTTATTGCGGTGAGCAAGCCTTGTGCTGTACATTCCATTCCAGTAAATGCCCGAGGTAAATAAAAGGTTTCTCAAAATAGAGGATCTGAGGCGTAAACCCCAAAGCAATTCATGTTTGAGAGGGAAGGCAAATGGGCAAGGGTATTTTTGTAAACTGGATAGCAGACAATGGAAGGGGTGGAAGTTAAGGCGTGCTAAGTCTAGTCTAAAGGTAATATGAGCAGTGTGCCTTTTGTTGCATGGAGGACTGACTCAATACTGTCCACTCTCATAAATGGTGTTTTGCCATTGAAGAAGCCTTCCAACGGCCAGCGCAAGACCACCTGGGAAATTTTAAAAAGAAGTGTCAAGAAAAAGGGAATTAATATTTAGTTCCAGGGACATCATCTCTCAGCTTTTTTTGCGCCTTACTTTGACTAATAAGTAAATTACATTTGTTGAGATAGTTCAATATAAACAGCACCAAAAGGCATAAAAATCAACGTGTCAATATGTGCCATCGCATTAAAGGAAAAAAGGATGAACGGATAAAGTCGACAACATGGCCATGAAAAACCTTTCCTCTAAAGGTAATATGAGCAGTGTGCCTTTTGTTGCATGGAGGACTGACTCAATATTGTCCACTCTCATAAATGGTGTTTCCCCATTGAGGAAGCCTTCCAACGGCCAGCACAAGACCACCTGGGAAATTTTAAAAAGAAGTGTCAATTCAGATGACAAAGTATAATGGGTGAGTATACAGACACTTGTGGCTAAGGTACACTTGACTGCTTACTTGTCTGACGTGCCTTTCCCAACATCCATTCAGAGGTCTTAAAAAGGCTCTACCACCATCTGGTGGATATATTAAGACAAGACGACTGCTGGGACAACTTGGACAAATGCTGCAACATGGCCATTATTTCCCAACAATGCGACAAGCGCCGCCGTTTTTTTCTTTCACATAATTGTTACATTGAATTCATTATTAGAATTATTTTTCTAATCAGAATGGCTTTAATCATTCAACTATTTTGACTGCATGATGTGTAATTATGACTTTAAGAAGCGTGCAAAAATAAATAAATAAAATTGTATCGTGTATTCATAACAACACCATTGGATTCAAGGCATACACGTCTTGATCGTATGCAATAAAAACTTACGGGACCGTCGAAGTGAAGACCTGTGAATCGGGAGAATTGCAGCAGGACTTCGCAACGCAAGTCTCCTGTAAAATAGACAATCATATGGTCAGGCTGTGGTGAAGAACATTCCCTGCCACAACAAGGGAGTGTGTGTGTGTGTGTGTTTGTGTGGGGGTGGTGGAGAAAAACATCCCCTGCCACAACAAGGGAGTGTGTGTGTGTGTGTGTGGTGATTCGTGATTAAAAAAAAAACAGGATATAGAAGTGATGGAGTGTTTAAGTGAAACAAAACACACAACATGTGGTTGCACTTTGAATCTAATTCATATTAACGGCCACCCGAGAACACGCTATTATGAAGTTTTCCACAGAATTGTACAAAAATTGGTCTTTGTGCATCTTAGGGCAGAGGCGTGGAGAGGATTTCGCACCTCTCTTGAAACTGTTTGGACGGGATTAAGCCAGCACGGGGGTTAGCATCCCCTTCATGCTTGGCTTGCCACCAGGTTGCATCATCTTGGCTCATGATCTGAAGAATGGAGCCCTTTTTGAAGGCGAGTCCGGCCTCCTGACATGGGATGGCTTTGTCGTCTTTTGGGTCGTAGTCAAAGAGCGCCTTCACAAACATCTGAACACAGAAGTGAGAAGAGGAAAGGGACAGGAAAAAAAATGGCTTGTTACTTTCCTCAAAGTCTAGAAGCAAGCATTCTATTTTGTCGAAAAAAAGAGTGCGGTCCCTAAACAATAATTGAATAAAATAATGTGATGATGCTCCGGCTTGCTAAGTTAGCGGGTTATGAATTGAGAGGAGACTTATTGTGAAAGCAACAATTAAAATTCTATTTTAAACTGTCAGTCAGTGTACGGCAATAACTTAAGCGGCGACGGCCTACCTTTGGCTCCTTGACCAATACATCCTCCTTGACCCCAGGAACCACTTTAAAGGTAATGGCCCCTTGTGACTGAGCCTGAATATTAGAAGAGACAAAATAGCAACAGTGGGTTACGTGACTAACACATATCTAATCGGAGGACTGTTCGGCTGGAAAATCTACAAGGACACAGATTCCCTTACGTAAATCCATGCAAGTGGTCAAAGCGCCAAGAAAAATGACTGAGAGGGAGGCAAGTGAACAGATATGTCACACATTCCTGGATGAGTGGAAAGGAAGCATTTGCCTCACAAATGAGAGGTCTTAGTTTGACAAAGGAAATGGAGGGGTCCAAAGACGAGTCGTACCAGAATACGAATAATTTCCTCTGGTTTCTTGTCATCCACAGGGATTCCATTGACCTCCTTCAGCTCATCCCCAACATGAATAAGGCCTGTTACACAAAACAAATCACAGTCTACACACTGAAATTTGAGTACCTTATTTGACATTTACTGGAAATTTTGACGACACAAGATTAGTTTATTGACATTGACGATTACATTATCATCTTTTTAGCCCCCCAAAAAACTTCAGAGAAGCGTTTCCAGTTACCCACACCTAACCCAGAGTAATTACAGCGCAGCCACAACACACATGAGTTTAAAAAAAATAAATAAATGCCAGATCCATAAACTCAAGCACAGTTTTGGTATGTACAAGAAAATTGAAGACTTGAAACAAACCACTTCTGTCTGCCGCCCCTCCTTTCATGATTCGGGCCACAAGGATGGCTCCTGTAAAATCATCTTGCTTTATCGTAGCTCCCTACAAAAAGGGGATTAATATTTAGTTCAAGGGACATCATCTCTCAGCTTTTTTTGCTACTTACTTTGACTAAAAAGTAAATTACATTTGTTGAGATAGTTCAATATAAACAGCACCAAGAGGCATAAAAATCAACGTGTCAATATGTGCCATCGCATTAAAGGAAAAAAGGATGAACGGATAAAGTTGACAACGTGGCCATGAAAAACCTTTCCTAGGACAGGAAGTCCATTAAAGCATAACACAACATGGCTGCCAACACCGTCTTGTGCCTGGATTTAGTTTAACGGCAGGCACAAGACTTTGTATCCAACAAGGTAAAGGTTTGAAAATGCGATAACGAGTAACTTACCAGAGGCTCCTTGTTTTTAACTAGCCTTATGATCTTGACGGAATCCTCGTCATCGTTGAAGTCTTCGGGCATTGGAGGTAGTTCAGGCTCATAGCTTTTCTGTGCAACTACATCGTGGACTGACAGAAGGCTCTAGAAGGGGGTGCATGAATAGCACAAGA